GAAGAGAAAATTTATTATAAAACATTTTTAAATAAAGAACACAAGTCTGTAAATACAGCTTTATTAATCAGCCTCTATGGCACAAAAGATGTCTCTCAGAGCTAAACTGTTAAGCAGAGATTTTAAGAAAAATAGAAAACTACAGCAAACTTGTAAACTGTCCAATAAAGGCCAGCAGCTCTTCTTATAGTTAGATGCATCCAGGGATGAATTCAAATTTACATATTTGTCCCTTGGGAATGATGGATATATATGTTTCTTCATGCAGGATGGCAAAGACTACATACCCCTCAATGGAACTGGTGGAACACCCACATTCATGGCCCTGGATCCTGTACAAGAGATCATAAGCAATAATATCACCATGGAATCCAGGTGAGATCCAGCCTTTGTTTGAAATGATGGTTTTGAAACCTATCAACAAGCATTGTTGTCTATAACCAGTAATTGTTTTAAAGGTTGAACAATGAATTATACTTCTCTCTCCCAGTCTGAGTTCTGAACCAACCGAAACATATATGATAGTGCCAGTTTAAGGTCTTCATTCTAGCTTTCTTGTTGGTATAAGCTATATTTGAGAATTGGTTTACAGGTGCAGCCAGATGGACTTTTTAATACTCTCCTGAATTAGATGTACACTAAAATTACAAGACTCACCCTTGGGGAAAATACACCCTTATGAGCAAGCAAATCCTAAAGAGAAGGAGTGCTCAAGGAAAGCATGATAATTACTTTTCTTCACCAATCTGATAACTCACTTCACATCTCACAGTGTGTGTTTGGGGGGCCGAGAGATTGGGGAGGAGAGTACCTCTTATAGAGTGTCCTCCATGTGGAAATGAGAGATGTTAAGAATAAGGGTTCCTGCCAAAAGGGGATATAAGAATGATAGGTAGAGAGGGCCCAAGAGCAACTGAGGATAAAATGAAGCACAATTCAATTCACGTCAGATGAACAATGAACACATATTAAATATCTTTGTGTTCAATTAGTGTTAGTCACTGAGAGGCTATAAAATAAAACCACTCAAATAACTGATCATCTACTAGGGAGATAAAACATGCACATTTATGAGCAAGTGTAAGAAATTTTGTAAGGGGGGCAGAAATAAGTGGCATGAGTTGTCTTTTATTTTTCAATTACAGTTGATATACAATATTATATTAGTTTCAGGTTTAAAACATAGTGATTATACATCTATATACCTTATTAAATGATCACCCCAATAAATCTAGTACACATCTGATACCCTTCATAGTTATTACAATATTATTGACTATATTTCCCATGCTGTCCTTTACATCCTCATGATTATTTTGAAACTACCAAAACATATAGTTTAAGTCTTGTAGGAATTCAGAGAAGAGAGAAATAAGCATAAGCTTAAGGCATCAAACAGAGTCACCATTCATAGTTATGCAATTTGTTTAAGACACAAGGAGCTCACCTTAGGGAACAAATGGTGACTGAATACAACTAATGTTCTGCTTCACAACCCTATGGCCTGACACAGCTCTGTCTGCCTAGAGGCAGGGGCATCTTTCACAGATTACATTACCCTTCATTAAAATCAGGGAAATAATGAAATATGTAAAGCGATTACTAACAGAACTAAAGGGAGAAACAGACCAAAACACTATCATACTAGGGGACCTAAATACCTCACTGATGGATATGGACAGATCATCCAATCAGAAAATCAATAAGGAAATAACATCCTTAAATGACACATTCAACCAACTGGACATAATTGATATATGCAGAGCCTTCAATCCCAAAACAGCTGCTTATACATTCTTCTTTAGTGCACATGAAACATTCTCAAGAATTGACCACATACTGAGACACAAGAGAAAGCCTCAACAAATATGAGTGTTGAAATCATACCAACTATATTCTCTGATCATAATGCTTTAAAACTAGAGATCAACTGGAGAAAGAAATCAGGAAAAACCACAGATACATAGATTAAACAACATGCTACTGAAGAATAACTGAGTCAGAAAAGAAATAAAAAGAGAGATCAAGAGATACATAGAAACAAATGATAATGATAGTACAACATATCAAAACTTTTGGGACATGGCAAAAGTGGTCATAAGAGGAAAGTTCATATCATAATAGGCCTACCCACAAAAACAAAAATGAGCCCAAATAAACAATCTAACGCTTCATCTTAAAAAAAACTAGAAAAAGAAGAACAAATGAAGCCTAAAGTCAGCAGAAAGAAAGAAATAATCAAAATTAGAGCAGAAATTAATGAAATTGAAAATAAAAAAAAAAACGATAGAAAAAAATAAGTGCAACAAAGAGCTGGTTCTTTGAGAAGGTTAATAAAATTGACAAACCCCTGGCTAGACTCACTAATGAAAAAATACATAAATACACAAAATCAGGGATGAAAGAGGGGAAATTATGACAGACATCACAGAAATACAAAGGATCATACAAGAAAACTATAAAAAAGTATATAACACCAAATTCA